CTCAAACACACACACACATAAAGTCACTGACAGACATACACTCACTCACTGACAGACACACACACACTTACTGACAGACATACACTCACTCACTGACAGACACACACACAAACACACAAACACACAGACACTTACTGACAGACATACACTCACTCACTGACAGACACACACACACACACACACACTAACTGACAGACCTACACTCACTCACTGACAGACACACACACAGACACTCACTGACATACATACACTCACTCACTGACTGACAGACAGACACACACACACACACACACACACACACACCCTTTCATTCACTGACATACATAAACTCACTCACTGACAGACACACACACACCCTTTCATTCACTGACATACATAAACTCACTCACTGACAGACACACGCACACACACACATACACTCACTGACATACATACACTCACTCACTGACAAACACACACAGGCAGACACTCACTGACAGACACACACGCACACTGACAGTCAAACATTCACAAACACACAGACAGACACTCACTGACATACACAAACTCACTTACTGACAGGCACACACTAACACACACACACAGACACACACTCACTGACAGTCAAACATTCACACACTCACTGACACACAGACTCACACAATTTTATTTTTTGAGGCTCATCCAGCCTCCCTACCTCCCTGGGGTCCAAATTTGAAATATCCCTCAATATTCTACGAAGGCATATTTTTAATTAAGACACCATATGTATATGGGGTTCTTGGAACATGACAGCTAAAGGCTTGTTGGGAAACATTATTCTCTTTATTCTCTTAAAATTGTCATACACCTGATTTAAATTTTTATTGTGTTTCAGACTATTGGTCGCCTGCAGAGTAAACTGGCTCATCCTTTTCAGACTGAATCAATAACTGCCAATATCCACCAATAGCCCCAACACTATGTCACTATTACACTATGTCACTCTTCAGTGACATATTCAAATTTTGGTTAAAAGTAGACATTGGATTCCTTCCAAATCAAATTTCCGACGAATTTGGATGAATTTGGCAACTTGGAAGCGTCTAATTATTTGAATTTCTGAATTCCTACACAATGAAACAAACCGAAATTGAACAGATTCAAAACAAATTGATCTGAATTTTTTTGGATCCATTCATTTTCATAAGGATTTAATATTGTTGGGAAAGCTTTCCAAATTATTTCATAGTAGGAAAAATATTTTTATTTTGTAATATTTTTATATTAAAAATAATTTTAAAAGCTTATCCAAAAATATTAAATCATTTGGAAAGCTTATCCAAAAATAATAATCAAGGCCCAAGGTAGGGACTTATCTGCTAAGCAACTAAAACAATTAAATTAAGTAGAGGTTTTTAAAAATATATATTTTTGCTACTTTGGCTGTTTAGTAGATATCTCCCTTATTTGGTATCTTTACATGGTAATGCCATAATTAAAAGGACACTATAGTCACCAGAACAACTACAGCTTATTGAATTTGTTCTGGAGAGTAGAATTATTACCTTCTGGCTTTTTGCTGTAAACACTGTCTTTTTCAGAGAAAATGCAGTGTTTATATTACAGCCTAGTGATAACTTCAATGGCCACTCCTCAGATAGCTGTTAGAGGTGCTTCCTGGGTCATGGCTGCCTAAAATGCATCCAAACATTCAGTGTCTCCTCCCTCTGCATGCAGACACTGAACTTTCCTCATAGAGATTCATTGATTCAATTCATCTCTATGAGGAGATGCTGATTGGCCAGGGCTGTGTTTGATGATCATGCTGGCTCTGCCCCTGATCTGCCTCCTTGTCAGTCTCAGACAATCCTATGGGGAAGCACTGTGATTGGATCAGGCCACAGCTTCTAATTATGTCAGCAGGCAGTGGGGCAGGTCTAAAGGAAACAGTGACAAAGCAAGCAGCTCCAGACTTGAATACAAGTAAGATTTACTATATTTAGGGAGGCATGCCCAGAGGGCAGCAGGATACCAAAATGGGCTCCTGGGATGGCCTGGGGCCAGAGGGTCGAGCGAGCATCGAACCATGAGTACCTGAGCGTATACGGGACATTAGTAGCTGGACAGTACACATGTGGAAGCAGGGTGCCCAGCCAGGGTATCGGCTGACTCCCCAACTACGGGAGCTGGCTGTTAAGCATGCTAAGTCTGACAGGGACTCTAACCCAGGCTGTAACAGACCAGGTGGCATACAAGTGACGATCATCTTACTATTTGGTTTAATTTTGTTATTACAATACTACGTTTTTATTAGCATGTCTTACTACACATCCCTATCAAGCTGCCTAGGATCTGCATAGCCTAGTATCACTCCCTAACACAACCCACATCCTAGTCTCTCCAACCACTGCTCCACTTTGTGACATTACCACCACTATAGTCAGCACAGTATCACTTTTAGGCGCAGCGCCCTTACTTGGCATTCAGCAACAACGGGCTGACGGCACCCTGCGCTCCCGAGCACGACCCCCCACCATGCCTGGCTGGAAACTGTACGGACTTTACAAGCACACTACCGGTACCGGGGGAAGGCTAACAGCCACGATTCCTTATAAGCCGGTACCCACCAGAGCTGACAGAGCGGGACTTATTAAATGCATATAATGTTTTTTCCTGTGCTGCATATCCAGTGGTTTTGAAGCTCCCCTCTATTTGCCTCAGCAGTAGAACAGCCTGTCACCACACAATTAACCATAGCCCCAAGCAGAGTAGGCCTGATACGCCTCATACACGTAACCCTGCGAGCTTAATCCTTACAAGACATAACCCAGCATCACATCGACCGACATAGCCAGCACATCTAGCTAGCATACGGCACATCGCAGACCAGTTAAACATCACCCTGTTTACAATATAACTCTGTGCATCGTTATTTCATGTTCATGTTTATTTTGCTATGCCTATTTTTGTTCACTCTTGAATCTCTTATAAAAAAATAAATAAAACTAAGTGCAACACATCTCGTACCTGTCACCAAAATGTTATCAATTGCTTACGACTGTAATATCTTTTGGAAATATTGACATATGTAACTAACAATGCACTTTCAAAAATAAAGAATTTAAAAAAAAAAAAAAATATGTCTGTCCCGATCGACATTTCAACCCGTTTGGGTCTTTTCAAGAACGGGATGAAATGCCGTTCGAGACAGACATATTTTGTATGTATTAATAAAAGAATCACATGGAAAAGACCTGTAGCACCCCTTACTTCTTTACGCGGGTTGCACCAAGACAAAAATATTGGAAATATTCAAAGGGGTGAGTGCCAAGGCTACATATACTATACACATATCAGAGACAGCCTTCTTTTATGTAGGGCCAAGTATCTTGGGAATTAGAAAGCAAAAAATCATACAATAGTGTAAAACATACAAAATAACTATGTAACGGACATATAATGAAGGCACACGCACACTTTATAGAGCTACTAAGAATTCTGCTCTGTTCAGCGTGGACGGTACAATCCCCATCTCAGGATTTATTTTGCAGTAGTGATGGTGTCTCTCCAGATGGTAATTAATATACAGAAATGAAAAACAGAGAATATCCAATGGTTCAGTATATATGAATAGTGACTTTATCACAGAAGAAGGTAAGTAACCTATTGACATGAAACAGAGCAATAAACCTGCTCTAGTCAGTGCAATCTTGCCAGCATTATATGCCCCCGGGCAAAGCAGTGCACTGGGACCCTGTCTACACTACAACTCACAGGAAACGAAATATAAATTATAGATTAAATTAAGCTTGCACTTATTGGTACCTCCAGCAAATGCAATACATACATACATACAATACATACTTACATACAGACTGTATGGTACAAGGACACACACACAGAGTACACACAGACTGCTGCATACATACACACAGACTGCTGAATACACAGATAGACTGCTGAATACAAACACAGAGACAGATGACTGAATACGCACACAGCTTGGTGAGTACACACACAGACAGCCTGCTAAATACACACACACAAACAGACTGCTGAATACACACACAGACTGTTGAATACACACAAACTACTGAATACTACTGAATACAGACTGCTGAATACTCACAGACAGACTGTTGAATACACACAGACCGAATGCTGAATACACTGAGTGTGCATGTGTGTGTGTGTGTGTGTGAGGGGTGCAGAGTGTGTGAGGGGTGCTGTGTGTGTGAAGGGTGCAGGGGTGGTCTGTGTGTGTGTATGTGAGTGGTACAGAGTATGTGAGGGATGCTGAGTGTCTTAGGTGCAGAATGTGTGTGGCAGATGCAGAATGTATGTATGTGAGGGGTGTACATACATGGGTATAGCATTGGGGCAACTATACTTGTGGGGCACCCGGGCAAGTGCCAAGCGTTCCCATGAGGAAAGATGGCTCTGGCTCTGGTGATATGTAGCATTGGAGGTATAATCCCCATCTGGGTGTATGGGATCATGAAGCTAGCAAGTTCTGTAGTAGAACCCAAAACAGATTACAATAATAATAAATAAAATAGTGTAAAAACAATATAGCAGCAATGAAATAAAGCTATAAAATCATACTAAACGCGTTTCACCAAAAGGCTTCATCCGATTATTTGTTTTCCTGGCACTATAGTTTCTCTTTAATGAAACAGAGGATAGTTACTATAATGAACTTGCTCTTTTTTTTAGTAAACTTACTATACTATAATGAACTTAGTTTTTTTTTTAGTAAATGTTTTCTAAACAGCGTCTGAAAGCCCCACAGTTATCTCTACACGGCACAAATGTTTTTACCTTTTAAAGGACTAAGTCCAAGTTTTATTGTTCTTAGTTATGAAAAATTGGAAGTTTTGCTATGATACCAATGTTCTATTAAGAAACTGTTGGACACAGTGCTTTTCTCTAAAGTATTGCCGGGTAGTGAAGTCCCGAACTGTTCGCCGAACGGTTCGCCACGAACGGTTCGCACGGACTCATCGTTGAGTAAACTTTGACCCTGTACCTCACAGTCAGCAGACACATTCCAGCCAATCAGCAGCAGACCCTCCCTCCCAGACCCTCCCAGATCCTCCCACCTCCTGGACAGCTCACTAAGAATGCAGCTTCACAATGGATGCTGTCCAGGAGGTGGGAGGGTCTGGGAGAGAGGGTCTGCTGCTGATTGGCTGGAATGTGTCTGCTGACTGTGAGGTACAGGGTCAAAGTTTACTCAATGATGAGTCCGCGGCGAACCGTTCGGGACTTCACTGCCAGGTAAGAAAAGAATTGTTGTTTTTAAAAAAAATATAAACAAACTTTTTATGCAATGCAGTTATCTTACACAAGAAAGATACATTTGTGAGTTAAATGCCAATTTCACTATTTTCAAGTGATTGTATATATATTTAAAATTGAGCCAAATTTTATTTGCACCACTGGTAGCACTTGCTCAAAGTTTTTGTATTAAATATATAAAACTATTTAATTAAACTACTGTTTTCAATTAAAGACCTTAAAATAGTCAAATACAATAGACTTTGGCATTTTAAGAATGCCAATCTATTAGAATATAAAAATGTACATTAGGCATTGCAGTAGATTTCAATTAGGCATTTACGTTATCTTCACACAGTATCTTAAATATGATGAAAAGCATACATTTATCTTAAAACCCCTCCTGAATTCCGATCCCTATATACTATACCCCTCCTATAACCCTGGAAGAATGTTATACTGCACTAATCAAAGCCCATGTAGCACTACTCAAACTAAGTTAACTGATTAGCTCTATCTCACAGCAAGTTACTTTTCTATATCACTTAAAGGGACACTATAGTCACCATAGCAACTACAGTTTAAAGTAGTGTTTCTGGTGTCTATAGCTTGTCCCTTTACATTACTGCCCAGGGACACCTCTAAGGCCAGCACTCAGACGGCCACTACAGGTGCTTCTTGGGTCAGTGCTGCATGTTTAGCGTCTCCACACTCTGCATGGAACTTTCCACATAGAGAAGTAAAGACAAATAAGTCAATGGGACCTGATGGAATACACCCAAAGCTATTAAAAGAGCTTAGTGGTGTACTAGCAAAACCATTAACAGATTTATTTAATCAATCATTGTTAACAACAGTAGTCCCAGAAGATTGGAAGTTAGCGAATGTTGTGCCCATTTACAAGGAAGGTAATAGGGAGGAGTCGGGCAACTATAGGCCAGTAAGCCTTACTTCAGTAGTGGGGAAAGTATTGGAAACCATGTTAAAGGATCAGATTGTTGAACATCTAAAAACACATGGATTTCAAGATCAGAGACAACATGGGTTTACTTCAGGGAGATCATGCCATACTAATCTTATTGATTTTTTTGATTGGGTAACTAAAATTATAGCTCAGGGTGGTGCAGTAGACATTGCTTACCTAGATTTCAGTAAGGCTTTTGACACTGTTGCAGATAGAAGGCTTATCAATAAACTGCAATCTTTAAGTTTTGATTCCAATATTGTTGAATGGGTAAGGCAGTGGCTGAGTAACAGGCAACAGAGGGTTGTAGTCAATGGAGTATATTTGAAGCATAGTCTTGTTACCAGTGGGGTACCTCAGGGATCTATACTTGGACCCATTCTCTTTAATATTTTTATTAGTGATATTGCAGAAGGTCTTGATGGTAAGGTATGTCTTTTTGCTGATGATACTAAGATATGTAACAGGGTTGATGTTCCAGGAGGGATAAGCCAAATGGCAAATGATTTAGGTAAACTAGAAAAATGGTCAGAATTGTGGCAACTGACATTTAATGTGGATAAGTGCAAGATAATGCATCTTGGACATAAAAAAGGGCAGAGTACAGAATATTTGATAGAGGAAAGGGATTTAGGGGTGATTATTGGACGTAAAAAAGGGCAGAGTACAGAATATTTGATAGAGGAAAGGGATTTAGGGGTGATTATTTCTGATGACTTAAAGGTAGTCAGACAATGTTATAGAGCAGCAGGAAATGCTAGCAGAATGCTTGGTTGTGAGACCTCACTTGGAGTATTGTACGCAGTATTGGAGACCGTATCTTCAGAAGGATATTGATACCTTAGAGAGAGTTCAGAGAAGGGCTACTAAACTGGTTCATGGATTGCAGGATAAAACTTACCAGGAAAGGTTAAAGGATCTTAACATGTATAGCTTGGAGTAAAGACGAGACAGGGGGGATATGATAGAAACATTTAAATACATAAAGGGAACACAGTAAAGGAGGAGACTATATTTAAAAGAAGAAAAACTACCACAACAAGAGGACATGGTCTTAAATTAGAGGGACAAAGGTTTACAAATAATATCAGGAAGTATTACTTTACTAAGAGGGTAGTGGATACATGGGATAGCCTGCCAGCTGAAGTGGTAGAGGTTAACACAGTAAAGGAGTTTAAGCATGCGTGGGATAGGCATAAGGCTATCCTAACTATAAGATAAGGCTAGGGACTAATGAAAGTATTTAGAAAATTGGGCAGACTAGATGGGCTGAATGGTTCTTATCTGCCGTCACATTCTATGTTTCAATGCATCTCTATATGGAGATGCTGATTGGTGCTGTGTTTTGCTGTGCAGTAGCCTTTAAATGCTTTCCTATGAGAAAGAATTGGATTGGCTGAGATTATCAAAATTTATGATCTCAGCCAAGGAGGTGGAGTGTGGGTTGGGCCAGCCATGATGATACCTGTGTGATATTGGAAAAAGGTGAGTAAACAAACTTTTTAATGGGGCTAGGGCAAATGGGGCTAGGGCAAAGGGAGGAGGCGAGGGGACTAAATGGTGTTTTACACCTTTAGTGTCAGGAATACACATTTGTATTCCTGACACTGTAGTGTTCCTTTAAGTATTTAGGGCCCTAAATACAAATTGGGTGGGACCTAATGTCCTCCCCCTTGGCCCCCACCCCTGAGCGTGGGTGGAGGACCTAAACAAAAATAAGGGGGGACCTAATGTCCTCCCCCCTGGCCCCCACCCCTGAGCGGTGGGTGGGTTCCCTAAACTAGAATGGGTGGGGGCCCTAAATACAAATTGGGGGTGGACCTAATGTCCTCCCCCTGGCCCCCACCCCTGAGCAGTGGGTGGGGGCCCTAAATACAAATTGGGGGGGACCTAATGTCCTCCCTCCTGGCCCCCACCCCTGAGTGGTGGGTGGGGGCCCTAAACAAGAATAAGGGGGGGCCTAACGTCCTTCCCCCTGGCCCCCAACCCTGAGCGGTGGGTGGGGGCCCTAAATATAAATTGGGGGGACCTAATGTCCTCCCCCCTGGTCCCCACCCCTGAGCGGTGGGTGGGTGGGGGCCCTAAACAAGAATAAGGGGGGGACCTACTGTCCTCCCCCTGGCCCCCACCCCTGAGCGGTGGGTGGGGGCCCTAAATACAAATTGGAGGATGACCTAATGTCCTCCCCCTGGCCTCCACCCCTGAACAGTGGGTGGGGGCCCTAAACTAGAATAAGTGGGGGGGGACCTACTGTCCTCCCCCTGGCCCCCACCCCTGAGCAGTGGGTGGGGGCCCTAAATACAAATTGGGGGGGACCTAATGTCCTCCCTCCTGGCCCCCACCCCTGAGTGGTGGGTGGGGGCCCTAAACAAGAATAAGGGGGGACCTAATGTCCTTCCCCCTGGCCCCCAACCCTGAGCGGTGGGTGGGGGCCCTAAATACAAATTGGGGGGACCTAATGTCCTCCCCCCTGGTCCCCACCCCTGAGCGGTGGGTGGGTGGGGGCCCTAAACAAGAATAAGGGGGGGACCTACTGTCCTCCCCCCTGGCCCCCACCCCTGAGCGGTGGGTGGGGGCCCTAAATACAAATTGGAGGTGGACCTAATGTCCTCCCCCTGGCCTCCACCCCTGAACAGTGGGTGGGGGCCCTAAACTAGAATAAGGGGGGGGACCTAATTTCCTCCCCCCTGGCCCCCACCCCTGAGTAGTGGGTGGGGGCCCTAAATACAAATTGGGGGGGACCTAATGTCCTCCCCCCTTGGCCCCCACCCCTGAGCGGTGAGTGGGGGCCCTAAACAAAAATAAGGGGGAACCTAATGTCCTCCCTCCTGGCCCCCACCCCTGAGCAGTGGGTGGGGGCCCTAAACTAGAATAGGGGGTACCTAATGTCCTCCCCCCTGGCCCCCACCCCTGAGCGGTGGGTGGGGGCCCTAAATACAAATTGGGGGGTACCTAATGTCCCCCCCACTGGCCCCCACCCCTGAGCAGCGGGTGGGGGCCCTAAATACAAATTTAACCACCCTACCCCCCAGATAACTAGGGGTCCCTAAAGCCCTAGTCACCCCCTCCCAAAAAAATAAACTCCTAACTACTCCCCTCACCCTAAAAATAATGAGGGGGGACCTTTAACTAAATACCTGTAAAAATAAAAATAAACTTACCATTCAGTATTTTCTTCTAAAATCTTCTTTTTTCAGCCCCAAAAAAGGTAAAATAAAAATCCATAATAACTGACACAATACAAAAAAAAAAAAAAAAAATCCATCTTCACCCATGGAGGGCTCCTCGCGCAGACTGAGCTCTGCAGGGCGGGGAAGGCTTATACATTTAGGTAAGTCTCTACATTTACCTGTCACAGCACTCTGATTGGTTGGTTTGAAATTCACCAATCAGAGTGCTCTGTGTCATTTTACACAGCGTGGGGAAGTTCTTTGGAATTTTCCCACGCTGTGTAATTTGACTCATAACACTCTGATTGGTTGAAGATGGATTATTTTTTTTGCGCTCAGTTTTTTTTTTTTAATTGCGTCGGTTATTATGGATTTTTTATTTTGGGCTGCTCATTTGTTTAATAGACATGCCCCTACTGCTGTGTATAGAGTAGGGGTATAATTTACTTCAATACTAAGTAATCTTTACTTAGTATTAGTAAATTTGGCTGAAAGACCAATTTAGGTCTTTCAACCTTTTAGTAGATAGCTCCCCAATATCGTGGGAATTAGGGAGTTATCTACTTATTCATTCCTGTCATTACATTGACTGGCTAAGTAACTTACATTTTATATGAATGTATGTTACTTGATTGTTGTAAGTGTTGCAAATGCTTACATCTGAATCCTGGCTATGTTTGTATACTTTTTATTTGAAATTGTAAACAGTGTAACATTCTTCTTCTTTCACTGGGTAAGTATATTAGTACTTAGGCAATACTGTGCTTCGGCACTTCGGCACTTTGACACTTCGGAACTTCAGCAACTTCGGAACTTCAGCACTTCAGCACTTCGCATTCAGCTATTCGACATTCGAAGCACCAATGTCCTACTACCTCAAATTCGGCTAATTTTAATTCGACCGAATAATTATTATTTATATAATATTAACTGATTTATTTGATTCGTCATATGAGTCACTTGTCTTTTATGAATACAGATGGCTCCCTGTAGCATCTATATTCATAAACAGCTGTTGTTGTGTTGTTTTGTTTGTTTGTTTTGTACTAGAATGTGTGGTTTTCCCACCAAGTCCCATTCCAGCTTGAGCCAGAAATAGGTGAACCACTACTTTTTATTACAGAGCAAATTAATCTCAGCAATTCAATAAATAAAAATCAGTAACATACATGATTGGCCTTGAAGAGCATGTGTCTAACACCAGTCTTTAAACATTATCACATGACATCGTTTTGGAAAATTATACTAATAGACAAAATGCATTAAGTGCCCTTTTTTCATTTGTATATCATCTACTAACATTGTGCACTACTAGACAGCTATAATAAAATGAAGTGATTTAGATATATGTCAATATCTTTTGTACAAGTAACTGTATTAAACCGTACACTAACCCACACATCTATTATGGGATCTAAACCTCTAAGCAGAGAGAAATCTGTTTATGCTTCTTCTATCAAAGAGCCTTTCATCTCCACAAAGCAAATTATTAACACATTCCATTGTAGACATGGGGGCGGATGCCTGGCCTTAAAAAAAATAGTTGGCCAAAAAATGAACATTTTTTTTATAAGCACTTTAATGATATTGAAGGGCTTCACGCCAAAGCCCTTGTGCCCAGTGGAGCACTGCAGCCTGATTGTTTGTCTGCCGAAGTCCTGTGGGTTGATCCTTTTGTGTCTAGGAATTTTCAATTTGAAAGGCAGTGGTGTAGGAGGAGCGGCCTCCCCAGTGAAGCTTGTTAAAGCATATATAGTAGAATACTTTAAGCTCATTCGAAACTAATTTTTTCTCAGATGAATGAACATAATCCTCTCTTCCAGACTGTAAATTATACTCTCATGTACTCTTTATAGAAAGATAGCATTAAAATATTTCAAAGTGCAACTAGCAATATTTCTTCTGATCACTGCGGTTTATCTTCTTTGAACCAAAACACTGCAAGGTGTGTCTAGCACAGTCTTCGTAGGTTGCCCTGCTTTCAAATGCAGTCTTATTAGTTCTCCCCCCTTTTTTCAGCGTTTGCTTATTTGGAGATCATAGTGGGCCTTATTATATTACTTGTGTTGCGCCAGGAAATCACTAAAGTGATAAACTTTCACCAGTGATATTGCCATCACAAAAAAATGGTTTATTGCACTTGTGGAATGACTGCAGTTTGTTTATTCTAATTTTATACATAGGAACCTATGTGAATCCAATACTTTGAGCAATCCTATGGCTGGGGATACAGTTTGTCAAATTTGGTAAGCTATTATTGACAGGGTATTATTTTACAGGTGTGTGTAACTGATAAAGAGGAGAGGTAAATATATATTTCCTGCTCTTTTCTGGATCCATCCATGTCTAAAGTAATAAGCATCTATAACCAAATGGCCGCTGTCTACAGAGATGGGTGGGAGTTAACTAAATAAAATTATGGGCAACCACGTCAGCAAATCTGTTAATAACCTCCATGTTGTTAGTGTTGGGATAAACGTTATAAATAAAATAGGGAGGGACTGCCATTGCTGCCGTGCTGGCAATGACCTTCATCAATGGAATGATGGGATGGGGTCCTTAATAAACTACTGCCTTCAGGGGACGTAGGATAATACTAATCATATTGACCCCCAATACACAAGTAAAGAACTCTACTGGACAGGCCCAATTTAGTAATTAAATCTAATAATATAGCCATAATAATCATTATAACCATAATGGTTGATGCCTAAACCCCCAATAATTAAGGTTCACCTCAATTTTCTACTTAAATTATCCCTGGGTATCTTCTTCAGTAGTGCCAGGTGAAGTACAATGTCCATGAAACTAGTAAAACAAATATCAACAGGCAACTAGTTTCTCTATATTACTGGTCCGTGGGGGTTGGTGCTCTCTTGCCAGCCCTCCCCCTGACCATGGATATTTTGTATGTTCACGAAACACAGTTGCCTCATTTGTTGGTGTTATAAGTGGCTGATCTGTGGGCCAGGTGATTGGCTGATCTGTGGGCCAGGTGATTGGCTGATCTGTGGGCCAGGTGATTAGCTGAGTTTAACCTTTTTTGTTTAAGACTGGGATGAGTAAAAGTGGCATTTGTAGCGCAATGCTTAAGAAAGCACTCTGACGTTTAAAAAAAAAAAAGGGTGGTACATTTTAACCCAAGAGTAGAACCGAATCTTTCCAGATCCTCAGGGGTTTCATGTATAATAGGTGAGACATTAAGGTTGTATAGATGGAAGGGGTGTTAAAATAAATCCTACACGCATGCATGGACCGACTAGTAATGTACAGTGCCAGAAATACAGCTCAAAGGTTTCTTCCAACATCAGCTTATGTTTATATACACAACAGACAAACTGGTCCAAACCCGCATCAAAAAAAGCATTAAGAGGGGGGCAGGTCTGATCTGCAAGCTGAATGGATGTGTTTTGAGAGAGCTCCTTGACATATCCCTGATATATGGGATATAATCGCCTATTATCTCTCTCTAAGCGAGCAACACTGAGTCCTACCACAACTCTTATCAGGCTGATCCACCATAACGAAGCTGCAGGTGGAATGCCTGACTGATTCAGCGGCATATGCAGTGTGACCTAAGAGGTGAAATGGGCGTGAGAGGTGGCCGATCGCTGGGCCTGAAGCACCTGTAACCCATGATCAAATCATTTGGTGCACCGTTCGCCCCATACCCCCGGTGGTTGTAATCCCTGTCCACACCCTTGAGGTTCCAGTGTTCTACCAGACCGCTGAGCGTACCTCAGCAAGCCAGCGTGGCATGTCAAACAAGATGGCGGATGGCACGTCATCTCCCAGCTTGAAAACTCTTCGCAGAGTCCTGGAGCAAGATCAGCAGGCGTCAACAACACCAGGATTCAAAGTGGCTACAAGCCTAATGACATCAAAACCACCTACTGCATTTGAGGAGGAGGAAAGCAGCCCCAGGTATAAGGCACTCACTACCAAGGCGGAGACGCCCAGGCCACCGGAAAATCAACCTACCAGCGGGCCTACCTCAAAGTCACCATCGCCTAGACCCACTCAGAGAGGCTAAATCGCCTGAGAGGCCATTGATGCCACAGCTAGGCCTATCTCCATGCTCCAGCTTGATGTTCCTGCAGCCTCCACCTGAGCCTTTGTGCCAGATGAGTGCCTTGCCGAAGCAAGCATATAATCAACCACAAAAAGGCATTAGGCTGTAACTACTGTGGATCTGCTCAAACTCCCCTAGATGCATACACAATATACAGTTTTGTTTTGCATTTATTTTACATTTATCTTCTTCTCTTTCTTTCATTTTATGCAGCATAATCTGTGGAATTTAGGGTTGACATGTCTTTGATAACCTACCCTGCATTAACGCATCAGGGTCCTCGTAGGGGTGTTATTCATTTCTAGCTAATTCAGCAGTCCAGCTCACAGTTAATTTATGGCTTAAGCTCAATTTAACTATATCAAAGTTGGTGGTATACGTTTCTTCATTTCTTTAAAATTAACAAGACATAACCGCTCTATGTATTTAAGCTTATTTTATTATATTATTTCTTTTTCGATTTATATTATTTCTTTTTTGATATATATTATTTTTTTTTATATATATATATATATATATATATATGTATCTGAGCTGTTTACTGTGCCTACTCACTGAGTTCCACCCAACGTTTTAGACATATATATTGATTACAAACAACAGTCTCACTTAGTACTGGATATAAATACTTAGTCCCTTTAATATAAAAATGTACAGTAACATCAAAATGCCATGCAACTGTTTTTGCAATGTTTCCTGTCTGCCTGCAATGGCTGTTGTGGCATTGCAAGCGTGTCTGTAATACTATGCACAACAAAAAAGAAAGAATTAATTAAAAATTTTAAAAAAGCATTAAGAGTTGAGGAATGAATATCCTTGGCATACGCAACATATTCTTCCTTGTGCTAAATATCAATTCAACATCTGATAAATATTCCGGCTCATTCTTCATCACCCATGATTCTTTACCTAGTCTCTGCATTTGTTATCTATCTAACACAGTGGTTCCCAAACCAGTCCGCAAGGCACCCCTACTAGTCCAAGATTTAAGGAATACCAAGTTGTGTCTAAAGTGTTTTTTTTTCTTTCTGAAAACATCTTAAACCCAACTTGGTAATCCCTAAATCCTGGACGGTAGGAATGCCTTGAGTACTGATTTGGGAAACATCTCTCTGACAGATGGCAACCTGCTTGCACTGCTGCTACCTCCCTCCTTGTTTTGGCACACATACCTCATGTCTTGTTTTAGAACAATTTAAAGTATTGACCTCCATATATCAGCAACATACACTTGAAAGCTTGACTAAACACAGTTAAAGCTCGTATACATCCACCAGACTTGCTATTATTGATGAATTGCAGTATCTGTCATGTACCACAATCGTGATAATATTTTGTAAACACAAAAGCAAACAGGGAAAAATATTGACCAAACTGTAAAGTTAGTGTAAAAAGTTAGTGGAAAGTTAGTTAGTGGAAAAAGTATAGTTGGAGAGATGAAGCCAGATTTATTGTAACATTTGGGGCCGTTTTATGTTTTTACCTTCACTGCATAGTTTATTAACAGCAATACCTATTATATTCTGGCTTGTTTGTTGGAGCTGTAAACCACTCTGGACTTAGAAGAAGCAACCTACCAACTAATAAATATAAACAAGGAGAATCTTCTTTCTATAAATCCATATAGTGAATATATGCTGAAATTGCTGCACAGTGGGTAATACAACGCTAGTTCAATCTCATTATGTATTTGTGTTTTCAGCACCCCAATCCATTTAGTTTAGTTCACGGTTTTTATTCATATGTTGCTGCTTCTTACATGATCTTTGTAATATAATGCTTTCATAGCAGCTAATATTTATTTAACCATGCCGTGCTTTACTTGAGAACAAGTTTTAATTAGTATTTTAAGTAGGGTGCATGCATTATAAAATACTACTGTACTTGCTTTCATGAGGTTGCTGCAAAACGTATATTTTTTTTGTAGATGTATTCTTTTTATAGGTGCTACTTTTTTACCCTTCAGCCATCAGTGAAGTGTTGATACTCCAAACATACACACAAATCAAACTGAATTTCTTGGCATACATTTAGTGCAAATAGGTCTTTTCCTATCTTTAGTAGGCATGTTTAGTTTGGAATGAGACTGTTCACAGCTATGACATGTTAGATAATCCCACGAGATTAGAAAGGCTAAACAAGGTCACGTCTAGTCAGCATTTAAATAGACAAGCAGGACTTAGTGGTGCCGAATAGCAGAAGTTCAGATCTTCATCCTACACTTAATTCTTAATTCCAGGAACAGATTATCTATCTATCTATCTCTCTCTCTCTGTGTATATATATCTATCAATCTATCAATCTATCTATCTATTATTTTGATATTCTTTATTTATAACGTGCCATCACATTCCGCAGCTCAGTCCATTGGTACAATGGTACAAGTAAAAAGACACAATACAATGTAACAAAAAGATAATACATAATTTGACAAACTAAAACAGTAAGGGATGATGGCACTATTCTCATGGGAATTTACAATCTACCCATCCATATATCTATATTTCTAGCTATCTAGTGGAGAGAGAGAAGTGAGAGAGATAGAGAGAGAGAAAATGAGAGCAGACGAAAAGAGTGAGATAATCAAATATATTTTTGTACAGAACCTGTGTATTTTAAGGCAAGTTTTTTGAAAGATTTTTGGAGGCTTTTGCGACTTTTTGATCTCTTTAAAATTGTAATATCGATATAGATAGACAGACAAAGAGAGGGCCAGGGAGATGGGTATATTTTTTGTTCACATTTATTTAATTAATGTAATTAACGTAAATCGAGAGATAACCTTATTAGATCGAGTTATGGTGGGGGTTAACTGTTTGCACTAAAACAGCTCCAAGAGGCAATATAGAAGAGAATGCTTCTGGGTGGGCGACACAGCTCTCATATTTAATCATTAAGCATACCTGGTTACTGTCAGTCACTCTCCTCTACCTTGCAATTTATAGAAAGAATCTATTTTCATTGTATGATCAGGACAGACAGGGGTTGTTCTGAAAGACACAGCTGATTGGTCGGTGATTATGTATCTCTATGTGCAAGTGCTTGAAGTGTGCATTGTCACATTTAAACTGTGTAATATAGAAATAAACTAAAACTAAAATTAAAGTGGTTGATTTAGATTTTAAAAAATAAACCCTGATAAAAACATCACTGTTATTTGATTGCTTGCATATAAAAATGTCTCCCCCAGTCTTCTCTTTGTGACTTTTTCCTGTGCTCTTCTGGTATTCTGGACCTATGCCCGGAGAAATAGCTTTCAGCACAGAATTAGATCTAAGAGATCAGAAAGTCTTCTATTAAAAGTCCAGTAATGTAAAACACATAGTTTAGGCTGTTCTATTCTATATTCTACTTTGACATTTTTTTTAGAATATCTATTTTTGCTTCTTGCACTAGTGTAGCATTTCTTTGACATCGCCTGCATACCTTTTTAGTCTTAATTTGTATGCCTTGGATTTTACAATCCAACTAAATAGAGCAGAATTTAAACATTTATAGATATTTCTACCAATATGACGACTTTTGAAGTAGATTGAGAAGTATAGGAGTCAGTGTGGTATGTTTAACCATGGGGATGCACGGGTAGTTCAGTTTTATATTTGGGTAAATTGAGTAGGATATACATATAGAAATAAAATAACATCAAAGAGACTTTGGGATTCTCAGTCTGCTGGTTCTACGAAAGCTCTGTATCCTACATCCACCCATAGAATTTCACGTCTGTTCTAGGTAGCATGGGAGCTGTGAAATAATCTATAGATTAAAATATACATACAGAAAAAAATAATTAGCAGAATTATTATTGTTATGAATTACATAATAATTGCAGAATAGGTCAGTTGGGAAACTTAAAAATCAAAGACCAGGTTCCAAAGCTAATTTTATGTATGTGAGCCTAGTCCACTGGATTAGAGCTAACTGGAGGTGTGCAACAAATCTCATTTAAATCAGAGATCACAACACATTTGTCCATAAAATTGTTTATAAAATAATCTTCTAAGTTTAATTGCTCCTTGTCTCTGATTATGGAATCCCAGTATATCAAAGGATGAGCAGTCACCTAAACGGCATTAAAGGGACACTATAGTCACCAGAACAACTACAGCTTATTGAATTTGTTCTAGTGAGTAGAATCATTACCTTTAGGCTTTTTGCTGTAAACACTGTCTTTTCAGAGAAAATGCAGTGTTTACATTACAGCCTAGTGATAACTTCACTGGCCACTCCTCAGATGGCTATTAGAGATCCACCCTGGGTCCTGGCTGTCTAAAATGCATCCAAACATTCAGTATCTCCGCCTCCTGCATGCAGATACTGAACTTTCCTCATAGAGATTCATTGAGTCAATTCATCTCTATGAGGAGATGCTGATTGGCCAGGGCTGTGTTTGAATCATGCTGGCTCTGCCCCTGATCTGCCTCTTTGTCAGTCTCAGCCAATCCTAGGGGGCAGCATTGTGATTTGATCAGGCCACCACTTCTGATGATGTCAGCAGACTGCTTGTTTTTTTTTTTTTTTTAGGCAAACAGCATGCAGAGTTAGAGCTTCTGGCTTGAATACAGTAAGATTTTGCTATATTTATGGAGGCATAAGGGGCCCAGGGGGGCTAGATGGTGGTGTTAACACTATAGGGTCAGGAATACATGGTTGTGTTCCTGACCCTATATTGATCTTTTAATACAAATAAATTATCATCCTTCATTTAATTATTCACCTGTTCATTTTTGTCTATCCATTACTTGATGTCAAATATGCACATTTTATAATAGTAAAGCTCTGCAAAATATGTTGGCACTATATAAATAATAAATAATAAACATTATCAGTTATGTTAAGTTGAAATGTTCAGGCCCTATTTACTAAACCAGGGGCTATGAAGAATTAAGTATGGGATAGCAAAGTTTAGACCAAAATAACAGTATAAATAGTTGTGCTGGAGATGTATTTACAGTTAAGTTATT